AGATAATTTCTCTTATCTCGTATGTTTATTCCATTATATTTCCATGGAATTGGTCGGTAGCGGAAGATTTTCTGAGAGAAAGTTCACTCGTATTCCTGTCGGAATGTAAAAAAAAAAAGCGTATATACCGACAAAGAAAAGGAAAGAGAAAAGAAAGCGAAACTTGCTTACGAACTACCGTGGAATTCATTTTTCCTTCGAAATAGGGAAAATTAATCGTAATTGTTTTTCGTGAAGTAGATCAAAGTTTTTTCTTTTTTCTTTCCTTTTGGTAGATATTACATTTGCATGACATATATGACAAAATATATTTACGGTAAACACTTTTTACGAAATTCCAAGAAGTGCATAATTTTTTAATTTGTTGATCCAAATGCGTGTCTTATCTATCAGTAAACAATTACTGATGCAAGGAAAAAAGAAAAAGAATTATGTCGATATGTAAAGCGATCGAACATACCAATATTTATAATATAATAGGTTCTATTGAGATTATACTTTCGATTTGTCTTCCTTCTTTTTTTTTTGTTTTTTTCTTTTTTATTACTTTTTTTTATTTTATTTTTCTTTCATTGTCAACGTTTCTACAAAGTCGATAGGAACCATCGGAGGAAAGTTATCGAGGCTTTCGTTTTTATTCCCAATTATGTCCGGTCCCTTTTAATTTACACGAAGTCTTACACCCAAGAGACAAGATCGGAATGTCGGTGTGCCGGCTTTGCGAATCGCCTTATTATTGTCCGCAATGGCTCGACGATTTGTCGTTTCGTTGACGCTGCCCATGGTATTAACCAACTACGGTAAAATACGATCGAGGAAACGGCAAGTGAGTTTCACGATTTACCTTCGAAAGAATTTTTTAACAAGTCGTAATGAAAAATTTAACGTATCGATTGTCGAGTATTAATTGGTAATGTGATTCGTTTAACGAGTTATAAAATGGTAAGTTTAACGTGATATTATGTCGTGCAAAGAAAATTATAGATATCAAAAGGTCGGATTCGATTGGGATGAAAATATTAAAGGAAATAAAAAAAGCAAAAGAAAAAAAGAAAGAAAAAAAGAAAAAAGATAATGGTAAACATCCTTCGACGCGAAGAGATCGATCGCCGTATTTGGTGTGGATGACGTTGCGAAACAAGTTAAAACTAGGATGACCAGATTTGAAAATTTAGTCACGATTGCATACGCGTGTTTTCTAAAGAAAAGGTCTTGCATATCTCCCTATATATATATATATATATATATATATATATATATATATATGTTTTACACATAATGTTTTTCTATTACAAATGAAGTAAATATAAATATATGAAGTGATGTCTCATTCGAATCATTTCCTCGCGTCATTGCTATCGAATTGGAACCATTTCCGTAGTTAATAATTTTAATTTAACGCACGATCTATTGTGTCTGGCAAAATGAAGTAGGTAGATCAGGCATGTCAAATTTATTTTGGCTCTAGCATTAAACGAGCGAGCTTGTGCCAAATCGATGGCAACACACGTGTTTGCCAAAAATTTAACATATTGCAACAATTTGGTTAGAGAATCGTTCATTATGCGTTTTGATTTTCCTTTGAAAAATATCTATCGATTTATTTTCTTAGAATATCGATATCACTAATCTATAATATATCGTTCATCGATGAAAAGGATCAAAAACAATTATTTGCACGTGTTCAACGACATTTAAAGGGACTTATAAAGAGTAAAAGTGAAAAAGGAAAAGTGAAAAAAGAAAAGGAGGAAAAAAAAGAAAACTATATCATAAATACTTAATCTATATCGTCTCACCTCACAATTTAATTCCTCCACGATGCTGCCGGGGATCGATCGATCCAAAGATCGATCGCTACCAATGATGCTAAATATCCGAGTTAACGTCGGTTGAATCGAAAACGCACGTCCCTCAGGATTCTCTCGAGGAGTCTCGAGGCATCCTCGGTGCTTCGTAATAACGACGACGACGACAACGGTGACGGCGATCTCGCTGGCACGTGATGTGAAACATTGAAACACACCGGTGTATACTGATGGGCGCACAGAGACCACTTGAATAATAACTCGGTTTACGTGGAATTGAATCGGCACACGCGTCACTTTTGTACACTCGATAGAGATCGGACGTTTCTCACTGGGCACATTTATCCCTATGGTTCCTCGGCTTGTTCGAAGATAGAATGAGAAGGTATCAGCAACGGCATCAGCAACGGTAGAAGATGAAGAAAAAGAAGACGAAGACGAAGACGAAGATGTAGGGGAACGAGGATGGAGGTCGTTATCTTCGGTCAGCTGTTCCTCTCGGTCCTCCGTTCTTCATGGTCGCGAGCACGTGCTTCGTAGCTCTTAGTGGAGCGCGCGCAACACACGAGAGCGTGGGTTCTTCCGGGTACTCACGAGTAAGATCGATCGTACGGGGACGCTTAAACGATCGGGTTAGCTCGATCGGCTCGAGGATTCGTCGCAAACGTCTTCGTTGAGGAGGAGAAGCTTTT